AACTTTATATATATTTAAAATAATAAAATTAAAACATTTTATTAATTTAATAATAAAAACCATTATATAGTCAGAAATGATAATTAAATAGAAAACAATTTAAACAAATTCTAGTAGGAAGTATTATTTCACAATTTCCTTTTTTGCCCTCGAAACAATCACGATGTATCCCGAAAAGGATCAACACTTTGCAATAGAAATTTCATATCGTGTATTTTAGCTTATCTTCTCGCATCTTTTGCTTCCCCACTCATGCTTTTTCTTTCTTGGTTAATTTCTCTTTTCGAATTGTAAATGAGCTTGAAAATTCAAGTAATATAATTCGAATCTATTTGCCTTCTTTTATATGTCACCAACTTTGTTGGTTACCGATGCATTAGACGAAGACCCCTTATTTTTTTCCCTATCTTTACGTATCGGGTAAACTATTTTTCCTATGCATATCCCTATCTCTACCTCCATCTTGTTCATTTCATGAAACTTTGTCGTATATTGGTGTTTTATACGATATTCGTCACAACCTATTTCGTTGTGAAACTGCTTGGTAAAGTGTAGCAAAAAATGATTTTTCACGTGCGTATTTCAGTTTACAGGATCATCAAAAATGTCTACTCATGATTATGCTAATACTTTCTCTTCTTCTAGCATCCATTGTTGAGGGGCACCATTTTAGGATAAAATGGTATGGGAATGGGTTCGGGTTCGAGATCAGGTTGCGTATCTCGAACAAACTCGATTTCCAACTTGGTCGGGGGTTTGCTTCTCGTAAAGTTTTATGGTAGAAGGAAAAATTGTGAAATAAGTTTGGGCTAATGGGCGTCATAGAGTAATATTGTAGTATATGTTGATTGTAAATTGTTAAGGTTAGGGTTTGGGTTGGGGTGAAAAAATATGGTATTAAGTTGTGGTCGCTAAACCGACGGAGTGAATGGAAAACATTTCGATGTGAGCATTGTTAAACTACTTGCACACAACTTGTTTCAGCGGGATCCAAGGGTGAGATTGATACAAGGGCTGTTTGGATTTATTTTGGTCAATAAAAGTTTGGGTGTTGGTAAAAATTTGTGAATAGTTGTGTGATATATTGACTAAAAGGTGTAATCTCTATAAGGGTATTTAAAAAAACAGTCGTTGGAGAGGAAAGAGGGGAAGAAGGCACGACAACAATTACTTTTGCGGGGCACCACACCTCACCACCGCACTTTGGTCAACATAGTGTTCACAACACCACCTTGCAGTGTGTGGTGGTACACCTCCTATGTTAGGTTTGCAACACGATGGTAGGGCAGAACTAGGAAAGGAACCATCGAGTTTTGGAAACGACTGGAAAATCATGGATTTGATAATTAGGTACGCAAATTAAAGATGTCTATCTTTCATAGTGATATATTTTTTTAAAACGACATTTATTATAAAAACAAATAAAAGGCTAGCAAAGTACTAGCAAAAACCAATTACAAATTTATAGGGAATTGAAGCCAAACATTCCAATCCCTAGACATTTTACGGTTCCTAACACAATACCAATTAAATGAATACAATTTAACTGTATCAACAAGGGTATCTTTTTCGATACTTTTTAGTGCGAAAGACCATCACATTTCTATAACCCCATAAGACCCATAACATAGTCATAACAATTGCAAGAATCCTTTCTTTCTGCATCCTTTGCATCAATAAAGCATCCAACCAATCATAAACCTCTTGTAGCGAACCAAACGAAGGCATATGTAAATCCGCCCACCCCGCAATTCGACTCCAACCAATCGCATATGTAAATCCGCAATTCGACCCCATAAGACCCTTAACTTTGATAGTGATATCTATAGGGTTGAAAGTTTTCTTTTTTGAGTTGCAAGGAATTGATCTACCAACTAATAGAGTCATTTAAAATCTATATCACAAATGCTTTGATACATACTATAAATTACTTTCATATAATATTTGTTTTGCGTATGAATGACTTTTACCGATTAATGCAATATAGACAACCAAATTTAATGTAGTTATATATATATATATATATATATATAGAGAGAGAGAGAGAGAGAGAGAGAGAGAGAGAGAAAGAGAGAGATTAAGGATTATTTGAGAACTCATAGTTTCTTGAGAACCCGAGAAATAAAAGTGGATCGTTAGATCAAAAAAAGGGATGGCTATGATGTATTGTGGTATTTTTGTGAATAAGTGGAAAAATAAAGGGACGTGGGCATTGAAATTAAATGATATTAAGGGTATTTAGGGTTAAAAGAAATTACTCCATATACACACATCTCCTCACGTCCAACCACCTCCATCTCCTCCGATCGACGCCATTCCCCCTCTACATTCCAAACTAGAAGACGATTACCAGTTCACCATCTTCAAAAGTAACCTCTGCCTCGCAAAGCGTCACCAGAAGCTTGATCCATCGGCAGTCCATGACGTCACTCGACATTGCCCTTAACCCTGAATGCCCTAAAAAGTCTATTAAAATTTCGAATTCCAACACAAAACCTAACCCTAAACAGCCTGTAGATTTGAATGTTAATGACGAAAACGTAGCTTCTTTTGATCCTGTTGCTCCTAATGTTGATTCTGTTGATTACATCTCCTCCGAAGATCTAAAACCCCTTTCTGACCCTAATGTCAAGTTCCAGGTAAATATCATTTCGTTTCAGTGATTACTTCGAAACTCAATTCAGTTATATCTCATATGAAAATCTAAACTCATTCCAGTTATATGTCAATCTTCCATTTCTCTCGGCTCTATTCTCTTTCAATGCGCGTGGTTACAGGTACACATCTAGGCGCCACCACTCTCTGCTCAAACGTAACCTCTTTTTCTTTTTCTCTCTTTGAAATATCGGATTGATTAAATGAGATTTAGGGCGTCGTAATCTCACTACCTTCTACCATCGACGATAACGAACGTTTTCTCATTGACGACGGAACAGTCGTTGTTGAACTCTCTCTTTCCCGTGATTTCCTAAATCGCGCCTGGAAATTAGGTCACCATTACTAACCCCCACCAAGTTTGGTGTTTCGTTCTTATTTATCAAGTTTTAGCATTCTGATTGGTTTGCATTTTGCAGGTGCATCTGTAATGGCTGGCGGAGGGTGTAGTATCTGTGAAGATGATCTTCCCTAATCAAGGTAAACCACATTAATTTCATCATAATTTTAACTTTTAAATTTTATTAATCTTTAATTCTTTAATATTTCAACATATGGTTTGAGGTAATTTGTCATTGTTGCTATGCAGGAGAGGAGCTATGACGGATTCATGAGGCATCAGTGAGTTGAAACTGAGAGTCAATGTCTATTTTGAATAAATAGACAAAACAGTAAGAGTATTAGATATATTAACAAACGAATGTCTCAAGATTAATCAGTGCAAAGATCTATTGTTAATATTCACACACTGGAGGTAAATAAACATCAAACTCCAAATTATCTTTTAATTTCTATTTTACTAAACTATTTATCATCATTTCTTATATACTCATGTTTTGAATGAAACTATTAATTCACATGTGATTTACATGTGATTCACATATTAATCACATGTAATTCACATATGATTCACTTGTGATTCAAATGTAAATATGAATTACATGTGATTCATGTATAAATCACAAGTGAATCATATATGAAGTACATGTGATTCACATGTAATTCACATATGATTAATTTGTGATTCACATGTAAATTACAAGTGAATTAACTATGAATTACATGTGATTCACAAGTTAATCACATATGAATTATATGTGATTCACATGTAATTTACATATTAATCACATGTAATTCACACTACAAGAAAAATGACTTACAGTGACACCAAAAAAGTGTGACTATATGCGTATAGTGACATTTTATTTTTTCACTCAAAGTGTGACGGAAGGTGACGCCATCGTATGGGTCTTATGGTCACTTTAAAATGTAGTGTTTGTATGCTATAAAAACATGTGGCCATAGTATAAAAGTGTGGCAAATGTGTACGAAATTTTGTTCCTGAAATATCCAATATTGTAGCGTTAAACAATTATTAGTCACACATATTTATTTAACGTTGTGACTGTATATCACCAAAATGCGACATTCATGATGTTTTAGTGTAGTTGTTTTCTTACATATGGTCACACAATTTAAATTTTATTAAGACTATTGTGTATCTTTTGTAAACTTTTAATTATGGTGAGTGTGACCATATTTGCTAAATGGCCATAAGTACTTTACTTTCATATGTGACGAATTGCTAATTATTAGTCACAAAAAATAATCAACGTTTGTGACTATAACCTAACGTATAGAGACAAACGAAGAAGTGAATTAAAATCATAAGTATTATAAAGTCACACATTTTGTTAAAATTAAGGACAATTCGATATCGTATTAAGACTATTGGGTATATTTTAGACACGTATAATTTACGGTAAACATGCCCGTGTTCGGTAAATGGACACATATAGTTAATGATCTATGTGACCGTTTCCTAGTATTTAGTCTCAACAACAATCAATTATGGTATTTATTTGCCACATATATTGTTTTCCATGTTGTTATTGTTTAACTTAGTGACAATTTTTTTTTTAAATAAAAATCACTTTAAATCAATTGTAGTCTCATAATTCTTGTATATTATGACTATTGTTAACTATTTAGCCACACGTTACAAATTGATGTAAAGTAACCATTGTATACTTTTAGAGACATTAAAAACGTATATAACATGACAAAAATCGTACTACAGCCACTATAACTTACTATTTACTGTTACTTTTTATACATTTTAGACACATGAAAATACTTTAAATTAAAGTAACGATACACAACAATATGAAACACAAACAAAATTCATAATTTTATATTAATAATAATTGAAATCGAAATTCATATATTTATTACATTCCTAATTAAAATATCAAAGATTAAAGGAAAATTTGCGTAATTTAAAGAATTTATATAAAGGTTAAAAAATCAAACACAACATAAAACCAAAACCTAAACATAACTAGCTAGGCATTCTTTTTGTTTCTATTGCTCCTTGTCTTCTTAAGAAGGGCATCAGATGATATGTAAGTTGATTTCCTTTTTGTTGATTTTTGATGTGATATAATTTCTGGTACCTATAACAACAACATTATAACCAATAAAATTAAATCATCATAAAGTTAGTATAGTACTTTATGAATAAAATAAAGTTTAATGCAAAAAGTATTGGACATATTGAAACAAACCTCTAAGTCGGTTTTCACAAGGTATTTTGGCCATGGAACAAAACTTTTATATGCATCCTCAACTAAATTAAATTCTCTAGTTTGATGGGGGTAGAAATGCAGTTTTTACAACCACTTCATCAATGTTGTAGAGGAACTCCATGAATGAATTGTCTTTCTGATGATAAGTGAATGGTACCGCGGGCAACGATGTTCCTTTTATACAGATGTGATAGACTACACTTGATTGGCTACAATGACAAGTAAAGTTATAATCTGGAAAAAAACAGAAATATATATTCATCATGTAAAAAAAACACTGACCTGGTGAATGGGATTATTTGGTGAAACTTTTGGTATGTCATGATTAATAGTGGTAGTCTTAGACTCAACAGTTTTGTTGGTGGTTTTTGTATTTGCCTGATATCAAGATTTAAGAAATATTTAAACATATATTTTAATAAAAAAAGATTAAATAAAAGTGTTGAAAACTGTAAAGTTAGTATATACTACTATTGCAGATTTCATGGAAATCAATTTTGCATCGAGTGCTGCAGTTGCAGATTTTGTTTGAACAGGTTTTTTGTTGGGTTTTGGAATAACCTACATAATATAAAGTCCAACATGAAAAATCAGAAATCAGTATCAAACATATATATATATATATATATATATATATATATATATATATATATATATATATATATATATACTAGAAATATTTGAGGCCCGTGCTAAGCACGGTCCATGAAAGGGAATTTGGGTTTTTTTACAGTTGTATAAAGTATATTGTGCTAATAACCAAAATAGGTAAAACTACAATGCGGTAAATTGGTGAATTTTCAATGAACTATACATGAAGAAGAAAAAAGAAATGAAAGTACATTGTTATAATCAAAATATATTGAAAGTCCATTCTTATTTCCTTATATGAATTTTTTGCCTTATGGAAAGCCTATAAATGGCTATTGGGATTAATCGTGAAATATTATCTTGATTTTTTTATTTGAGGCTTGACCACTTATTCCTTGATCTTTGTTGCTAATTTGCTATGTCCATTGTTTCTTGGTTCGACATAACCTAATAAATTAGATGGATTTGTGAGATTAAAATCTTTCCAGAAAGGGGTGATATTATGTAAAATATATGAAAGATATACTCAACATTATTTCTATGGTTACAAAAGTTTATTATTTAGATAAGCTGATTTCAAGCAATCTTGTTGTCTTGTTTTTCATTCTAGATAAGGTTATTTATTCATAGTCAGAAAGCCTACCAAAAGCTTGAAAAGATTATTTAAAATGAAAATTCAGAACCCTCATTCTTTGTTTCATGGATCTTGCTTGAATGTAATCTACTAAAAAATGTAATGTATGTGCAAGAGGTCTTCCTTATAAAATTAATGTGATAAAGTTCTCCTGCCCTAATAATCTTATTTGCAGAAATAGATATATCCTGCTGAAAGAATGAAATATACATATGTTTTTTTTCCTATATTATACTTGTTTGTAATAATAGAAATATGATTTTTTTTTATTAATCCAACAAGACCTCCTATATATGTCCAAATTAGAAGGCAACTAACTTCCACATTTGCAATCTTTAATGTTTCTCTTCTGCATTGCATTTAATCACTTTTCCATGAAACCTTTTTAATAACGATGCATTCATATTGTTAATTGTCACATTTAAATGAATATAATGATAAAACTGTAAAGATTATTTCAAATTAAAGGTTTACCACTTTACCTTCTGCAACAAGATAGTTGTTCTTGAAATTAAACCAAAGTTTTCAGATAAAAAAAATTAAATAAATTGGATAATTGTCTTTGTTTTACATCGAAATCGAACCTACCAAGCTTTAAATTGACAAAGACAAAATATCATTTTGGTGGCAAAGATCAAGAGAAACTTAGATGCATTTTTAGTTACACAAACTTCAAAAAAAATATCAACAATAAGCATTATGCCACTTGTTTGAAATTTTAAAAAAAACAACTAAACTAACTAAAATCAAATTGAACTACTTCATTAAAAAATTTATGGGTCTATAAATATTTATTTATATCAAAGTAAACTGATAAACTACAGTAAAGGAGACAACTTTAAAGAAACCAATGGTAGAATCAAGGAGTTAAGCACACATGTAAAAGACATAAACTAATAAGTATTATTTATATTAGAAATAAACATGTACGCCATAATAGTCCAGCTAAACTTATATGGGTTCAAAACCTTATGCAATATTTCAAAATAGTCAACAAATTAATACTCATAACTGAAATAAACTTATGTATAATAATTCACAAAATAGAAAAGATATACTATTGACTAATTAGGAAATGAAAAAAGAAAGATTTACCTTCTAGAACAAAATAGTTCTCAACTTGCCCTTGAAATCAAGAAGCCTCAACTTTAGAAAAGAAATAAAAGATAATGTTAGATAACAACCCTCGGAAATTCTTAACGACCAACATCATAAAAAAAATCCTACCTCCCATAATATGCGGTCTGAAGGAGATAGACCAGATTTTATGATACCCTGGTCCTGTAGCCGCTACTCTTGAAATTTGAATGACTTTCAAAACAAAAAAAATACAAACTTAGCAAATCGAGGGTTTCAAAAGAATAGTAAAAAGGTCAAATCTTACCTCACCATCGTTTTTTCAGAGATTTCAACAAATCAAACTAAATCTAAAAATAGTTATAGTCTTGAAAAATACCCAAGAGACCATGCAATCCAAGAATAATTCTTCTTATTCAGGCTTGAACTGCTCATGCTTTCGATCATCTCTATTAAGACCCTGAAAAACAATAAACATTGACGGTGGTAATAGTTGATGGGGAAGAGAGAAGACTATGGAAAACCAAAAAGCAATTGAAACAAACTGGTCGCAGATAAGAGGGTATATATATACCCTGTGTATGAGGGGTCGTGACGATTTGATGCAACGCTTTTGGAAGCGTTGGAAAAAACTTGGCGATTAACATTACTTCCATTGTCACGAATTTGATTCGTGTCGTTCGAGTGTTGGGTGATGTGGAGTTGTACGAAACGTACAAACGTTTGTAGAAGGCTCCAGAAAACAAAAAGCTTATAGTCAGTAGGAACAATTTTGTCGTTCTTCTTTAAATCCACCATTTGCGATCAACAAAATGGAGAAATTATGTTGGTTGCATAATCAAGGTTTTCTGTATTCTTTCGAATTCCAAAAAGAAGGCGTTCAGTAGGATGCGATAGTCAGATTCAATCGACGTTTTCAAATGTTGATATATATATATATATATATATATATATATATATATATATATATATATATATATATCAACGATGATCTAATAAGATGATAACATACTAGTGTTACAGGTTTTGAAGGTTCATTGGTTTTGAGACTAACATGAGACGTTTCATTACTCTGTACAATCTTCTCACTTAAAATACCCTAGAAAATATAAAGAAATAGGAAAATGTTTAAAATAAATGCAATTTAGAACTAACATTGACAAAAAATATTTTCAATAAGATTACTTACAATTGTATGAGACAGATTTGGAAAGTCAACTCCTTTTTCATTAAGATGAGCCAAAACTAGCTTTAGTGTTTGATCTTGTTCATTAACCTTTGTAGACAAAGCCTTGAGTTCAGCATCTTTTTTCTCAAGCTCAAGTTTTCCATTATGCAGTGCAACTTTAAGATCTTTAATTTCTTCCTTAGATGACCCTTTGCTGCGAGGAACATTGAAATATCGGTTGTAAGTGACTCCCGTGCCGACACTTTTTAAAATCCGCCCTTTTCCTTTCCAAAAACTAAGGTCATGGCATCCGTTCCCGGTTCAAGATTTACTTTTCCTTCTTTTATCTGCTTCTCATGTTCCATCTACTAAACAAAAAATTAATAATTATTGTCTTAATATCAATGATTAAAATATTTAAAGTAAAAGAAAAAGAAAAGTGTAGTGAAGTTACTAGTTTATCAGCCATGATTTTAACATCTTCATCCTTAAATTCTCCTTTACTTTCACGCCCTTTACACCACATAACTGACCTTGGAGGAATTTCCTCCTTCGAAATCACATTCTCTTCAATCTTGATAAAAAAAAATTAAATTATAAAGAATATGAAACAAAACCATGTTAAATAAACTGATATGAAGTTAATGTAGCTTACCAACTTCCTCCTAAGAGTTGTATACCCCCTCGTCCCATCCGATGATCATACTTTGACATCTTTCTCGCTTTGATAGTCCTTTGTGATACAATCTGTGAATTAAAAGTAACATATTTGTGACAAACTTTTAGAACCTAGATTATGATAAATAAATGAATAAGTTTTGAAAAAAGATTTTAACATTAAACTCTTGAGATTGTGTATAAGTCACAAATTTGTTCTAATCATGTTGTTCAGTGATTAGTGCACGATAACGAACTGGGATTTTTTCAAGCACATCGGTATCGCCTAGATGTGGTTTGATGTAATCTGCACACAACTTTCTTCTGAAATTCCGTAGAAGAATACCAAGTCTATTCATCACAAATTGTTTTCCACTTTCATGAACCTCAAAATAGCGCTAAAAAAACAATGAGAATGTTAGTATTTAAAACTTGATTTGTACATATATTATGTTATACAGATTAAAAAATTGAAGAAAATATTTACCGTTATCTCTTCCCATAGTTTGTCCTTCATTTCCGGTTTAACTTTTTTCCAGCAATGAGCACTTAATCCCACCTTCTCGCGGAAAAGATCACCCAAATAGCTAACAAAGACTGCATTATTCTTCCCTGTAAACCTACCAAATTCATCAAACCTGACACGTTTTTTTCCACCAGAATTGACATATTCAGTCTTCAGTTTTGGCAATCGAGTCATGCCCCTCTTCTTATGTGATTTTGTAGGAACTGTTTTATGGATTTCTTCTTCCGAATCTGATTGGCTATTGTAGTGAATGTCTTCATTTTCACCATTCTCTGTATGCGAATCATATTCTTGGTTTCCATCATCTAGCTCATATTCTGTATTAAAGTCAGGGATATCCTCATGTTGTTCCTTGTCAACCTCCATGATTCTTCTATTGACAAAACAGATTGAAAATAAGTTTGATTGTTTATAAGTTTAATGATAATGTATGAACAAATAATATTACAGACAATTGCTCACATAAACATTTCATCGAACAGTTGGTGTGCAAGAAGCACACCAATATGAAGAATCAAAATTCTTTGTGTTATGCATGATCCGTGATCAATACAATCAATAACACTGAAACTATATGTACACAAACAACATAGTTACACTAGAAAGCTTGATGAATGATGAACTGAAGTATGATCCCTCTGGGATATAACCAAACGCTAAACAAAACAATGGTGGAATAAATGACAATCTATTAAATATTAAAATGATTTAATAGGTCCTAAATTGATGGAGGTTACCTAAAAATTACCGGGATTTCCTTCATCCGATGGATTGATCTTAATAGTTTTGGCGGGGCGATAGATGAAGATTTCCCGCTTTGATTTGGAGCCCAAAAACCATACAAAAAAATATTTGCATCTCATTAGTTTTTGTTTAAATTCGTTTGACAGATTCAAATTTGTTGCAAAATTTTATCTCATAGTAATCCCACACGATTAGAAGAAAAAATCGTGGTTTGGAAACATGACCTGCCTTTTCAAAAATTATTATGATTTATTTGGTAAGAATATAAATATTACATATTTGGTCCTTCTAAGTTAACAATTTATTTTTTGGAAAAACATTTATGACTATTTGAAATAAAAAATATATAAAGTTAAAAAATTATATATACAAGGGAAAAATATTATTATATAACCAAAATAATACTACGGTCTAGTAGGCGTAATTATTTATAATAATAATTTATATGCCACAACCAACACCTATACATGAAAAAATGAGGTCCAAACCCACAACCAACACCCAAACATGACCTAATGAGGTCCAAACCCACAACCAACACCCATACATGACCAAATGAGGTACAAACCCACAACTAACACCGATACATTACCAAATGAGGTCCAAACCCACAACCAACACCCATACATGACCAAATGAGGTCCAAACCCACAACCAACACCCATACATGACCTAATGAGGTCCAAACCCACAACCAACACCCATACATGACCTAATGAGGTCCAAACCCACAACAACCACACATACATGACCAATAAGGTCCAAACCCACAACCAACACCCATACATGACCTAATGAGGTCCAAACACACAACCAACAGTATGGACATGACCAAATGAGGTCCAAACCCACAACCAACACCCATACATGACCAAATGTGGTACAAACCCACAACCAACACTATGGACATGACCAAATGAGGTCCAAACCCACAAGCAACACCCATACATGACCTAATGAGGTCCAAACCCACAACCAACACCCATACATGACCAAATGAGGTCCAAACCCACAACCAACACCCATACATGACCTAATGAGGTCCAAACCCACAACCAACACCCATACATGACCAAATGAGGTCCAAACCCACAACCAACACCCATGCATGACCTACTGAGGTCTAAACCCACAACCAACACTATGGACATGACCAAATGAGGTCCAAACCCACAACCAACACCCATACATGACCAAATGTGGTACAAACCCACAACCAACACTATGGACATGACCAAATGAGGTCCAAACCCACAACCAACACCCATACATGACCGAATGAGGTCCAAACCCACAACCAAGACCCATACATGACCAAATGAGGTCAAAACCAACAACCAACACCCATACATTACCAAATGAGGTCCAAACCCACAACCAACACCCATACATAACCAAATGAGGTCCAACCCCCCAACCAACACCCATACATGACCTAATGAGGTCCAAACCCACAACCAACACCCATACATGACCAAATGAGGTCCAAACCCACAACCAACACCCATACATGACCTAATGAGGTCCAAAACCACAACCAACACTATAGACATGACCAAATGAGGTCCAAACCCACAACCAACACCCATACATTACCAAATGAGGTCTAAACCCACAACCAACACCCATACATGACTTAATGAGGTCCAAACCCACAACCAACACTATGGACATGACCAAATGAGGTCCAAACCCACAACCAACACCCATACATTACCTAATGATGGTCAACCCCAACCCATGTGAATTATAAATTTATATATAAATTTATTTTTTTGTTTGATAATTAAAAACATTGCTAGTATGGATGTTACATTTAATTAATATTATAGATATTTTTTACATTAATGTTATAGATATTAATGTAAATACTAGATATGTTAACGTATAATACAAAAATGTGTAATCATTATCGTAGCCGCCAAGCCGTCGTTCAAAATCCACCTCCTCTGTAGACTGCAATTAATCGTAGAAGTGATGGCCTCAGTCGACGTCCCTTCACCTCCGACTGATGATCCTTTTAAACCATTCGCTTATGTCAATTTCGTCATTCTCACATATTCATTACGTTACGATAACTTCGATTTCTCCCTCTTCCTCTTTGAAAAAACTATGACGATCAATTGAACAGAAGATGAATGCTGATTCGTGGGCACGTCCGAAGTTCCAACTATGGAGTGTAAGCGTCAAACCACCAAGAAACACACCGGTGGTTGAATACGGGAAGGAAAACAAGAAAAGATTCACCATTCACGTTGTTCATGGTGGGTTCTTTACAGACTACCCAGGTAAGACGTATCAACAGACAAAGGTTCACTTTATTTGTGACAACCAGAAGTTCATTCTGTCGTCGTAACCCGTTCCGTCTTTTAAAATTCATCGTCTTGAATTGTTTCCGTTCGTTTCAAAAATTAAGTCATTAATTTTGAGTTGTTATTATGACTTAATAATTTTCCAAACGCATTAGAATCTCATGAAAATGCCCCGAGGTATTATTTGGAAAAAATTTAGTTTTATTCCGTCAAGTTATAAAATAATTAAATCGGGTGCGACCAAAAGCCTCACTTAACATCAGTATCGGGTAGAATTCCACCGTGTCCCAAACCTTAAGCATATATAAAGTTGAGAGAGTCTCATTTGAAGCCATTTTCACTCTCTCTACTCTCTCTACTTTCTCTCTCTAAAAGTCAAAATCAAGCCAAAATCATCCAAATCAAGCACCAAATCATGAAGGTAACTATCCTAGCTCCTAGTATAACACCTTTAGCCTTCAAATTCGTGATTTGTATGAAAAGTAGGACCATCAACATGTGTTTACGGTCCTGGAACCTCCTTAGGCCGTGAACACATGTAATAAGGGGTTTTGAGCCTTAAAACCCTTCCAAACCTCATTTGGAGCCTAGATATGACCTAAGGACTTACTTGCATGGACTTAGAACACCTTGAACTCTTCATTTAGGGTATGAAAATGATTTTATGGCCTAAGAATATGCTTGGACCGTAAACACCTATCCATGGGTAGTAAACTCAAATTAAGGTGTTAAAATGCCACTTACACACCTCATAAGTCTTAGAATGAAGTCTAGAAGCAACCACAATCAAGTTAAGGACCTTAAACATGCTAAAAATACTCCCATAGGAGCTTAAAGCCGTAAACCCCTCAAGAATGGGTTCTTAGGCCGTAAACTCCTAATACATGGTCAAATGGTATCTTAAACTCATCCCAAGGCTTGTTTAATGACTTAGAAACACTTGTAAAGGACCTAGGACCACCAAAACACCTTAAGACTTGGCATATAAGATTTTTCGGCCATAAAATCCTAGTTTACTATCGTAAATTCCTCAAATGGTCCTTAGGATGTTCAAAGCCCATTCCAAAGCCTTAAACCCAAGTCTAGCATTAATCCTCAAGTGATATAAGGCCATTTAGCACCCTAGAACACCCCACCATGAGTTTACAGCCGTAAACTCATGGGGAGTGGGTCATTAGGGCCGTAAACCCTCTTACGAGTTTACGCTTGAAGGGTAAACTCCATATCCATGTCGTACATGTCTATAGATGTCACCCGGGTTACTCCAAACACTTGTAATGAAGTGTTTTCACGTCTTGGAGTGTATAATCCTATCTAAATTGTAGTTCAGATACTAATTAGATACAAATGTGTATCTTTTCATATTACATAGGAACCTCACACGTGTTCAAGCCCCGAACTAACGTTTACCATCCAATCAGGCACATTCTTCAATCGGTGAGTTCATACCCCTACCCTTTTTCAATGTTTTTCAATGTTTTCAGGGGGAATACAAGCAAAAGTACAAGGAAATCTTGTACTCAAACTTCTGATTTCATTTGATCTATTTCGTATTTCATATGCTTTTAACATCGAAAACTGTATTAACCAATCGTTCAACTTGCAGAGTAAACCGTCATGTTATTTGTGAAGCTGCTTTTAAAATGTTATACAATTATATTTCACAAATGAATTTCCATATAATTGTTGCTAAAAGCATGAATCTTAAAGCATTAAAATGTTCTTGATATAACTCCATGTAGATACGAAAGTGAAGGGATAATAACACACAGTTAGAAACAGAGCGAATACGAAAGTATAGTTAGAAACATAACGAATACAAATACGAATACGAATACGAATAGGAGTAGGAATAGGAATACGAATACGAATACGAATACGAATATGAATACGAATACAAATACGAATAGGAATAGGAATATGAATACGAATACGAATACGAATACGAATACAAATACGAATACGAATACGAATACGAATACGAATACGAGTAGGAGTAGGAATAGGAATACGAATACGAATACGAAAGCACGCCTTTGGATGACGCCAAGACTTCGGAAATATAGTTAGTGTACGCCTTGATTGTCACCAGAGTTTCGAAAATAATTCGAAAGTACGCCTCTGTACATCGACTGAGTTTCGAAAACATACGCCTTTGGATGTCGACAGAGTTTCGAAGATACGTCTAATGTACTCTTTTGGAAATCACCAGAACATCGAATATACAGTTAATGTACGTTTCTAAGTGTATCCAAATATTCGAAAACACAACTAAGTATAGTAGATAATCGACATTCGAATGTAGGGTAA